CCTGGGAAGCTTCCCCGGCTCTGATTTCTGAGCCACGGCGCTAAATCTGCGTGGCCCAGCTCCTGGTGGGGCTGACAGAGGCGACAGTGGTCCCGTGGCTTTGTGCCTGTCTCCGTGCAGGAGCCCTGACATCCCACCCAACGCGTCCCTCACGCTGGAGGTGGAGCTGCTGGAGGCTCGGGACGCTCCGGACCTGGAGCTGCTCAGCGGGAAGGAGAAGGTCGAGCTGGCCAACCGCAAACGGGAGCGGGGCAACTACTTCTACCAGCAGGCAGATTACGTGCTGGCCATCAACTCCTACGACATCGCCCTCAGGATCATCGGCTCCAACTCCAAAGGTACCTGTTTCCTCCCCCAGTGAGGGTCCTCCCAGGCTCCTGTCCTGCCCTAACCTGGCTCCGGGGTCTTGGCAGTGGATTTCAGCCCAGATGAGGAGGCCGAGCTGCTGGATGTGAAGGTGAAATGTCTCAACAACCTGGCGGCCTCGCAGCTCAAATTGGACCATTACAAGGCGGCTCTCAAGTCCTGTAACCTTGTGCTGGAGCACCAGCCAGAGAACATCAAGGCTCTCTTCCGAAAGGGAAAGGTGAGGCTGGGGTCCCTTGTCCGTGGCGTGACAGGGGACCGGGGGACAGATCTCAGTAAGGGGAGAGAGGGACGGGTTTCAACCAGGGGACAAAGGGACAGATCTCAGCCAGGGGACAGATCTTAGCCAGAGGACAGAGGGACAAACCTCAGGCAGGGGATCAAGGGACAGAACTCAGCCAGGGAACAGAGGGACAGATCTCAGCCAGGGGACAGAGGGACAGACCTCAGCCATCCTGCTCAACCCATGTCTTGCTCTCCAGGTCCTGGCTCAGCAGGGTGAATACAGGGAGGCCATTCCCATCTTGAAGGCAGCGTTGAAGCTGGAGCCTTCAAACAAGGTAGGCTGGAGGTGTGTGCTGCCCATAATCCCACTGAGCTGGGAGTCTGTGGGGTGCTCCTCTCTCGTCTGTGTCCCTACAAACCTCAGTGTCTCCCGTGGAAGGCTGAAGCCCCCTGTAGCTGTTCCCAGCTCCATGAAGGAAGGCTGGGAATAGCCCCAGAGTCTGGGGGACAATGCCCCATGAGGTGCAACATCCAAGCGTGGCTGGGCTGGCAGGTCCTTTATCTCCATGTTGCAAGATTCCCTCATTGACCTTTGCTCCTGGCACTGGCAGGATGCCCTGCCAACCCATCCCTGCTCCAGCTGTCAGCTGTGGATGGTCCTGGCTGCTCCAGCTCTCCTGGGTGGCTCTGGCAGCTCATGCCACTGCTGCGGGAAGTGGGGCAGAGCTGAGTCCCCACAAACTCGCTCAGCAGCCCCAGGTGTGATTCACTGGGTGGTGGGAGCAGCCAGACCTCGGTCCAGCGCCTGGGCAGGGCGAGCTCTGGGTCAGGAATTTCCTGTCGGTTAATGATCAGCTGCAGGACTGGAGCCTTGGGAGGAATCAAAAAACCAGTGCCAGGAAGTGGCTCCCAGCAGGAGCGAGCCTGGGGAGAGACAGGGAGGTGCTGCCTGCTTGGAGTCGGCTCTCCAGGTGGGCTTGGGTCCGTTGTTGTGTCCATCCCTTTTCTGGGAATTTCACCAGACCATCAGGATTTGTGTCGTGATCCAGTGCCTGAAGGTGAGGGGTTGGATGGGGCACAAGCAGCACCCACGGGTGTGATCTGAGAGCACCCACAGAAGGGCGAGCAGGATCCCAAACCCTTCACTTCCCAGCAAGGCCAGGGTGGAGAGGGAGCAGCAGCAGGAGCCATTCTCTGTACGTCTCCAGCACGTCACTGGGCAGGGCAGCTGCTCACCAGCCTGTTCTGATGGAGCTTTTAATTGGAGAGGGCTGGAAAATCCAAATGCCCTGCAGTGACGTTGCCGGTGAAACCACAAGTACAGCAAATTACTGGGCTCTTGGGCTGCTGCCGGGGAAGTGGTGGGGCCTCTCCAGTCGCAGCCCTGGTGACTCACAGGCCACGGCTACCGGTGCTGAAAACACTCCCGAAATGCTGGGCTCCACCTGCCTCCCGTGAGGAAACAGGTTCTCTGAGGCTGTCACACCTTCCAGGCGTCACAGGCATCCCTTCTCCCCACCCCTTGGAAAATGCACGCTCTGGGGAGCCAGGGTGGGATGCTGATGTTCGTCCTGCTGGGATGTGCCAGCCCCGGGGAGCTCCGAGCAGGAGCTTCCAGTCCTCCAGACGTCCAAATTCTCGTGTGGGAGGCAGCGTTTCCCAGCGTGGCACGGCCTGGGGAACCCCCAGCAGAGGGCACAGCACGGCCGTGCCACCTCGACGTCCTTCCTGCCACCCTGCCCTTCCTGCCACCCTCCGTGCTCGGCTCCCTGGCACTTCCTGTGGCTTTTCTGGGAGCCCCACACAGGACTCGGAGCCTTCTCCTGCCCCAGCTGGGCAGGTACAGACTGGCTCTGGGTCTTGCTGCAATCCCACTTCAGACCAGGCTGAGTTTAAGCCCACTTTCCCAGCCTGCTTTCCAGACACAAGTGGGAGAGCTTGGGCACGTCTGTCCTCAAGGCAGACGCTTTCCTGTCTCGATTAAAGGATAAAAGTCCATTTCCCGATGTCTGGCATCAGCCCTGGGCTCTGCTCCTTGCTGCCAGGGAACAGAGTGGCCAAAAAGGACAGAGGGGCACTCGGACCCACAGGGTGGCCCATGGTGCTGGGAAGTGGGGCAGGATGAGGCCATCACCCCCTCGGCTGCTTCTGAGCTCTTCCACCAAGTCCCTGCACGTCTCAGGCGTGGTGGGAGCTGCTGTTTGGTGACACCACAGGCAGGGATGGTGCAGGGCTGGTAACACCTCGCTCTCCTCCCCAGACCATCCACGCTGAGCTCTCCAAGCTGGTGAAGAAACACGCGGACCAGAGGAACGTGGAGACCGAGATGTACAGGAAGATGCTCGGGAATCCCAGCGCCTCCGGCACCCCCAGGAAGTGCAAAGACAAGCTGCCCTGGGTAGGGGCTGGTGCTGGGATCCCGGGGGGATTGGGGATCCGCAGGGGATGTGTCATTGTCCCCCAGGCCCTGGGGTGGGGGGTGACACAGCGCTGCTCCCGGGCTGCGGGTGTGACCCACGTGGGTGGGCTGTGTCCGGGCAGCAATCCCGCTGGGAACGGGGGGCCGTGCTCCGGGAGCCGTGCCAGGAAAACACTGATAACAGGCTGTGCTGGCTCCGTCCGCCGGATCCCGGTGGTGCCAGCTGGAGGGTCCGGACTTTGCTCCCAGCTGCTGCGCTCGGGAGCCTGAGCTGTCAGCTGGGCAGCCGGCGGCACACGCTGTCCCCGCGGACGCTCCGGCCACGTGCCGGCGCAGCACTTGCCTTTTTGGGACGCCCCCGTCTGGGATGCCGGGAGCCGGGGATAGGCGAGGGTGGCACATCCCCTCACCTCCCTGGCTCCCTCCTCCGCAGTCCATCCCCTGGAAGTGGCTCTTTGGTGCGACGGCCATCGCGCTGGGCGGCGTGGCCTTGTCCGTGGTCATCGCGGCGAGGAACTGAGGGCGGCGCCGGGGCGGCCCCTGGGCACGGGACCAGCGGCGGGCCTGTGCCTCTCTCTCTCTCTCTGCTGAGGGGCTCCCCCACCCCTTCCCGTGGACTGGCAGCTGCAGGAACACGGATGCTTTCTCTGCCGGAGGTGCCGGGTCTCCCTCCCGCCATTCCCCGTATCCCTCCCGGCGCAGGCGGGTGCAGCTGCAGGGATGGAGCCGCGGGCAGAGCGGAGACCCCCAGGCACCCTCCCGGCAATCAGGGGCTCAGCCCCCGGCCCCGAGCGTGTCGGGGGGAGTGGGAGCTCCCACACAGCGGTACGGTCGTGGCCATCCCCATCCCGGGGGGTCCTGTCCCCCCTCAGCTGGGGGAGGCACATGGAAGGAAGCTGGGCCCAGCTGTGGGAAGGGAAGGGAAGGGAAGCCATGTGGATGTGCCCAGGGGCAGGTGCAGCGACATTCCCTGTGTCCTGGGGGACTCAGCCCTCCCAGAGGCTCCCGCTCCCCTCCCCAGCACATCCCCAGAGCGTGCAATGTCCAAAGGAAGCCAAAGAAACCCGTGGCGGGAGGGATGGCGAGAGGGGAGCGTCGGAGACCCCCTGTCCGGGCTGTCTCCTGTGGGTCCAAGCTTTTGGGGGTCCCCCTCTGCCCTGCCGCTGCCTCAGCTCTGCTCGCAGGGGGGTTTGTAGCACTGTCCTCCCACCCCAAACTGACTGTGAACTTCCCAAATAAAGGACAATTCCTTCATGTCCAGGCCTTTTTATTGCCACCCAGACATTCATCGTCGCTGTCCCCCCTCTTGCCACACACACTCGTGGCTGCAGTGGGGGCCAGGAGTGGCTCTGTTTCATTTGGGGAGGCAAATTTTTATGGCCCCCACACAGCTATAAAGCAGGAGGGAGCAGCTCCCATGGCTGGGGGGGGGATGCCTGGCCCTGGAGAGGCCTGAAGAGCACAGAGCTCTGCCTGGGGGTCCTGCTGGGTGGCCGGGGGGAACCAGGGGACCACGGGTCCAGCTTGGGTGGGGGGCACATGGAGCCCACGGGCTGGGCCGGGGGGGGATGCCCAGGGGGAGGCGTGGGACCCCAAATCCTGCTCTGGGGGGAGCTGCAGGGTGTTCCCAGGGGGTTTCATACCCCGGTGGGGGCTCATGTCAGGGATCGGGGGGTTCATACCCGGGGGGGTCTCATGCCGGGGGTTCCCCCCCCGCCGCCCCCTCCCCGCGCTCCCCCAGCGCGCCAGACCACCCTCCCCAGCATGCCCCGCTCCCCCTTCATTTACATATCCCCGCCTCCCCCTCCGCGCCGCCCAATCCGGCGCGGCGCCCTCCTCCCCTCAGCCAATGGGCGCGCGCGCTGCCCGCCGCCTCGCCCCAGCAACAGGCGCCCCGGGAGGGGGCGTGGCCGGCGGCGCGGGAAAGGCTCATGAATAATTCATAAGGGGGAGGCGTGGCCGGCGGCGGGCGGCCCCGGCGGCCCAGGCGCGGAGGGGGAGACGGTCCCAAGATGGCGGCGCTGCAGGCGGAGCGCGGGTACGGGCTGTCCTGCGGCCGCCTCGGCCGCGGCACCCGCGTCTCCGTCTTCCACGTCAAGCTCACGGAGAGCGCCCTGCGCGCCTTCGAGAGCTACCAGGCTTGTAAGGTAAGGAGGGGGCTGCGGGGCCCCGGGCACGGCCCCGCGGAGGGGAGGGAGGGAGGGAGGCAGAGGGCGGGCGGTCGCCACGAGGCCCCCGGAGGGAGGGAGCCCCCCGCGGGGGTGAGAGGGGAGGTGGGTCGGTGGTGGTGCGAGGGCTCCGCGGTGAGACACCGAGGGGGTGCGGGAGCTCCTGCCCCGACCCCCCCGCTCCGTGAGTGAGCGGGGAAGGCGGGAGGGGGGGTGGGGGGCGATCCCGATGCCAGGGGGTTGAGGGAGACCGAGGGGGCTCGGAACGCCCCCCGGTGTCGTGTGTGTGTGTGTGTGTGTGTGTGTCCCTCCACTGGCGTTTAAGGGGTCCCGATGGGCCCCCCGGTGGGTAACCGGGGGAGGGGTCGTGATCCTCCGGTAAGTGCCCGAGGGGCACCGGGAGGGGTCGGGGGGTGTGTGTCGTACCCCCACCACACTTCCCGGTAGCTGCTGGGGAGACCCCAATGTGCCCCCCCCCCCGATGGGTAAAGGGGGTCCCCAGTATGTCCCCCCAGTGGGTAAAGGAAGGACCCCAATGTGCCCCCCCCGGTGGGTAAAGGGGGGACCTCAATGTGCTTCACCCCCCCCGGTGGGTGATGGAGGTACCCCAGTGTACCCCCCCCGGTGGGTAAAGGAAGGACCCCAATGTGCCCCCCCCGTGGGTGATGGGGACCCACACCCCGCGGTCTCGGTGCGGGGGTGGGCGCTCGGTGTCCCCCCGGGAGGTGACGGGAACTGCCGTCAGTGCCCGGGAGTGTCTGGGGAGGGGGATGGAGGGACGTCGATGCCCCCCCCCACCCCCCTCCCCGTTCCCCCGGTGAACGTGATGTGGGTTTCCAGGACCGGGGAGGGGGGGAAAAAGGGGGGCTCACCCCCGGTGCTGCCATCCCGGACTGGGTAGGGGGTCCCCCCCTTCCCCGGGGCACCCGGTTGTACCCCCCTGCCGCCCCCATAGCCCAGTACTTCCCTCCCCGGGAAGGGGGGGGGAGGCACGTTCAGACTGGGGCTGTATTTTGAAATTTCCAGATTGTCTTTTCCGAGCGATTTCCCTGAAATGCATCCAGAGAGCTTATTAGTCATGTAAATAAAGAATGATGGCAGCACTCGGCAGCAGCGGCAGGCGTTGGGATGGACCGGAGAGGGGTTCAAAACTGTCGTTTTCGGTGTCATTTTATTTTATTTTATTTTATTTTTTTCCGCCTCTGATCCTGTGACGAACATTTCTGTCTCCTCACCTTGCTGGGGGAAGCTGGGAGCCTAAACCCGTTTGTCATTAGGAGCGTCCTGCCTGCCAGCTTCTGTAGGATAAACCATATGTTGTCACAACACTATTTTTAATTTAGGGTGTTGGTTACATCACATCACTGAATTGGGCAATCTCTGTATGAGGACGAAGGTAATGACTGTACCAGGGTTTATCAACTTATATTTTAATGAGTGTTTATCAGCATTATGAGAAGTCAGTAGCAATAAGTGACTTGGGTAGACTGAATTAGTAGCTTTTTTTTTTTTTTGGTCTGAAAATGAAACAAATAATCCATATAAGTCTTTCCTATATATTAGGAAAGCCTTTTTTTGGGGGGGGGGGGGGAGGGAGAGTAGGAAGGCTACAGGCAGCTGCATTAAATATTTTGGGAAGCTATTCTGAGTCCGTGTCACACATGAATAGTGGTGTTTATTTTCTAAATGAAGCCTGGGCTCTGGATTGTTTGGTGGCCAACGGCCACTAATGAACTTTGCTTCCTTCACCACCACCCAAAAGAGAAATAGTCAGAGGCTCCTGGTGATTAACTGGGCAGGAAGGGATAAGGGGCAGAAGAGCTGCTTGTTTGTGTAGTGAATAACGCAACAATTAGTGGGCTATTAAACACATATGCTCCTTCTGCATCGGTTCTATAAACAGTTTCTCCAGCTCGGGGAACGTCTCGGCTTCCTCGGAAGCGCCGGGCCACGGCCACGCCAGGAACCGCCTCCAACACACCTTTGCAGCCTGTGTTTGTCCAGCCCAGCTCCGCTTTTAATTTCGGGCTGCAGCAGTTAAATGGAAAAAATTTGCTCAGGCTCTCCTTCTGCTCGGTTTGGTTTGAAATGTGGTGGAGCTGACGGCGGCGTTGTGTAATATGGATAATGGCCTGGAATCCAATCCTGCTGTTTGTGTTACCTGGAGTCCAACGTGTGCAGTCTGACCTGTTTTGGGCACCGGGGTAGCACATCCGTGCCGATTCCTGCGACAAGACTCTGTCCCTCTGCCAGAACGGGCAGGGAAATGTCTTCAGTTCCTTGCTTGAGTTTGTTCTTGGTCTAATAATAATGTATTGGGATTACATAATCCAAAAATGATCACCCAGCCGGGCGAGCTGCCATTTGTTTGGAGTGTCCCTTGTGCCAGAGCAGTTGCAGGCTTGGTGTGGAGCTGCACCATGTGTGTGCATCAGGCAGCAGGGCTGTGGAGAAGCAGATATTTGTCTTCTTGGGTCTCTGCTGGAATTCTCTGTGTCCCAGGGAGGAAAACGGTCGTGGGTCCACATGTTGGATGGGGCTTGGAGCAACCTGGTCTAGCGGAAGGTGTCCCTGCCCCGTGGAAGGGGGTGGAATGAGCTGAGCTTCGAGGTCCCTCCCAACCCAACCCAGTCTGGGATTCTGTGCTGTTGATGCCCAACTCTTGTGTTCCAGCAAGCTGTTCCTGTGTCGTGTTCAGAGGATGTGGAGCTGCTGCTGAGGAGCTCCACAGGGCTCCGGCTTTTCCCGATCCCGAAAAGGGTTTCTTTTTTTCTCCAGTGGCTCACCTGACAGAAATAAGAGTCTTGAAAAAAAAGAGGTAGCACTGGCTTCACAGGGGACACTGTGAGATGTCACCTGGCTGCCCCTTGTGAAACTTGCTGTCCCTGAAACCTCTTCCCCGGGGTTGTGAAAGCGCGAGCTCCGGCGGCTCAGCTCCGAGGGCCGAGCGGTGGCGAGGCTGTCCCAGCTCGGTTTGTCCACTGGTGAAATGCAACTGGTCTGGTGTGTTCCCCTAAAACAACTCTGGGTTCTCCCAGGGGTGTAATTCTAGACCAACCTTCAGTTTGCTGCCTTCCCTTCGGGGTCGTGTTCAGGCCTTCCCAAAAAAGCAGGACGTGGCCAAGGCCAGGTTGGACGGGGCTTGGAGCAATCTGGGATAGTGGAATGTGTCGCTGCTCGTGGCAGGGGGTGGAACAAGATGGGCCTTAATGTCCTTCCAACCCAAACCACTCTGGGATTAGATGATTCTGTGGCTTTTTCACATCTGTTCTGGTTTGTCTCCAGCTTTCTTGCTGCCCGTGTCGAGGTACAAGGGAACTCCTTACGCCCCTCCTTGTTTTCTTCTTTCATTCCTTCTCCTGAACCCCATCCTTGATGACAAGATGTTTTATCCATCCCCACCTGATACCCTTAGATACATCTCCATCCCTAGCACTCATCCTTTGATGTTCACACCTGTTTTTTTAGCAGCATCACGAGGGGTTTCTGGGTAAGTCCCGCTCTTCGTGCCCGGTTGAAAATGCCACACGGCAGACCTGAGTGCCCCTTGGCAGTGGGTCTGTCTCTTGTGCTGAAGGTGCTGACAGCAGGCAAACAGTGTTAGGGCTGTTCCTGGAACCCTTACCTGGGAATTTCCCAACTTTCACGTAGTTATTTAAAACCTCCCTTTGCGGCTGGAGCTTGTGTGAGGGGTGGTCATTTGATAACGAGCGAAGTGACACAATTCCACACCTTTCCCTGTTATCTGGAGCTCATGTGTTGACCTAATGATGGAGGCCAGGCTCACCTCAGCTCCCAGCCCTGGTCCTGGCTTGCATGGTGGTTTTAGGAGGATGTAAAGTAGGTTGTAGCATCCCTTGGTCCGTGTGTGATGCAGCTGAGCAGCACCTCCTGCTCCTGTTGTTCCTCTCTGCCCCGGCTACCCCGGAGTGTTTTGAACTGAAGCCATTGGTTGATTCACTGGTGAACTTTGGCAGATGCACAAATATTTATTGGGGACTGAGCTGAGATAACCAAAGCACGTTGTCCCCGTGCTCAGCTAGCTGAGCTGAGTTTTGGAGCCGTGGTCTGATAGATGTGGCTTCCCGAGTCACCTTCCCCGACTGTGAGAGAAGCGATTCCGTGAAGATCAGGGTTAACCCGACCCCTTGCAGTGGCTGTTTATTGAAAGAACTTCTCAGCCTTGCCTTTTGGAGCAGTTGGTGGAGATGCCTTCATCTTGCTGTGTTCAAAGCACTGAAACACAAAATGAAGGCTGTGCTGTCATTACAGGGTCTTTAGGGTAATGCGTATTCATGCTGACTTGGGAATTGAAAGCTGCTTGCAGGTGTCAGGAGGAGAAGAACAATCCGCCTTTCGAATCAAAATTCATTGAATTATCTTTAAAGCTTTTTTGCATCATTCCTCCTCCCCTGTAACCTGTTTTTTCCTGTCCTATTAATTCACTGATGCTGTAGTCCGTCAAAATTGAGGCTCTTACGACATCGGGAACATGAGTCGGTGACACGACCAAATGAATCAGAGGAGGCTGGAGAGGAAGCTCATCGCACACGTACGTCTCCTCCTCATCAGCAAAAATGGGACAGGATCTGCAGAACGCCCTGAACTGCTCAACTCCTGTTGCTCAGTGTTCTCCACGCTGACCCCAATGTGGCACCTCCCGTTCGAAAGCGAAGGGGGACAAAGAGACACTGAATGTTTTGGCCCGTGGCAGTTTCCTCTCAATTATTTAGGGTAGCTTTTTCTCTCTCTCTCTCTCTCTCTCTCAACCCTCTGCCGCTTGGATCTGCTCAAATTATAGATTCAGCTCTATAGTTTTCGAACGGCATTGGAAGGAATTGTCTGTAATTTACATCTGAAGTGACGTACAGTTGCTATGGGATTCGGTGGCAAATTATAAACCCATTATGCTTTTATTTTTTTTTTTTTTTTTTTTTATGCTGGTGGTAGCAGGCTAAAGGAGTAGGTCTAATTGGTGA